GGGCTCGGGGCGGGTGTGCGGCGCGCTGCGCGCCCGTGGGGACCCTCACTCCCGGCCCGGGGTGGGCGGACGACTCTGCCCGTCTCGGGAGGGAGCGATGGGATGGGGCCGTGGGGGAAGATCTGTTTGCGGCCCGCTGGGAACGCGGAGTGGGAACCAGGCTGCAGCAGCCAGTGCCCGGGGGACGGGGATGGCCGGCGATGACAGGCAGTGGCAGCAGCGGCATCCTTGGCCCGCGGGACGGAGGGCAAAGTCCGGAGGCGAGGAAGCCGGCGCTCAGGAATGGAGGGCGCTGTGAGGCGGGCGGGGTGGGTCCTTGCACTGGGCGCTCTAGTTCTTGAGCTCGCGGGAGGGGTTTCAGCCTGAGTCCAGGATAAGGTGTGTTTTACAACCTAGGAACTTCCCCGAAAGCTTCCTCGAAACTTTGGGCTCTGCCTCCCCCTCTTGGCTGTGCGGCTTTTGGCGAGTCGCTTCTCTTTACAGGCTTCCTTTTCCTCAGTGTAGAATCAAGGTCTGTCCGACCCGGGGTGCAAAACAAGCACTCTCCAGGGCTAATCCTGTGCACAGATAGGATTTGCTTGACCCACGTTATTTTGCAATTTTGCATTTAGTTGCCAACATTCAAGAATTTGGAGATTTAACATTAAGAATCCAAGTTTTCAGTGTTCTCTTGAAAAACCAGAAGTCAGCCGCTCTGGACCTTTGTTGTTTCCAGCAGCAGTTGCCTGAATTTTGGCTGTCACCTCCTGATCAGCTTCATTCCTTTTCTCCTGCAGGTGTCTGATCGGGATCTCCTTCTAGACCCCTCCTAGATCAGTGTTCTCTCCTGGGATATGGGGAACCAGCTCCCCACCCCCAAGGTGTTATATAAGATACCTTGGGTCCTATCAGTGATGTGGCTGCACAGGAAAGGTGATGCCACTGATCCTTGCAGTCTGTAACCTTTCCCTGGAATGTGGACAGGCCATTTCAGCATACAGTGAAACTTGAGTCCGATAGGATTACCCATTTTCCTAGAGCCCTGTGAAACCTGTGACCGAAGTTGGTGTCCTGCCTCAGCCTACCTCGCTTTCAGGAGAGGGACTAGGGATTACTAAACCACTACCCTGTATAAAAATGCGGCCTTATTCATTAAATCAGCAAAACAGCACAGAACATATCATTAAACACGAAGCTTAAAAACTTTTCTTTTGAGCAGTGCTCTTTTGTGTCTTAATAGTTCTGTATTTATATTAACATAGATTAAAATAGTTTAAATAGTTGTAATAGTGAAATAAAATTTCCGTTTAGAATGACTAAGAAAATAAATCATATACAGAAAAGGAAATGAGAAGGAAACAATACACTAGGAAAAAACACAGAAGTCACTGATGGAGAAATTACGCTAAGTGAAAGAAGTCAGATGCAAAAGACCACACATTCATAGAGCCAGAAAGCAGATTGGTGGTTACCAGGAGCTGGGGGAGTAGGGAAGAGGGAGAGACTAATTAACAGGAACAGGGTTTCCTTGGGGGTTGATGAAAACTCTTTTGCAACTCTAGTGGTGTTGGTTGCACAATGTGAATGCTCCAAAAGCCACTGAAGTGTACACTTCAAAGTAGTCAATTTTATGTTATGTGAATTTTACCACAGTAAAAAAATTGTTTTAAGGAAGAAAGTCCTTTATATTAAAACATAAAAACTATATGGTATGGGGAGATAGCAAAAATCATAAAGGTGATCCAAGAGTGCCTAAAGTTTAGGGACTGTTGCCTTGGTCTGGGCACCTGCAAACAAACAGTTCTGATACAGAGAAAAGTAACTGCCCTGCCAGATCAGCAGCAGACAGGGAGCCCCATGTTTAGGGAGGGACATCAAAGTGGATAAAAGACCCAAATTAAATGGGGCAGGATGATATTTTGAGGTATGTCTTTGTTCTCTCGGCTCTGGAATTTTGCCTCCTGACTGAGGCAGCAAGCTCGTTGCCCCACGGGGAGGATGTGACAGAGCGGAAAGCAGGAACAAAAGACTCTTTGTGGCTTTCACCTTCTACAGCTCAGAACCTTCTGGCGAACAGAGCTTTGCAAAAATATTTTTGGGGCTTGAGGACGGAGGTCAAAAAGGCTGTAGATGGGTCTGCAGCAAGAAGGGAGATGAAGGGAAATGGAAGTAGAGCTCCTGGTAGGTCTCCCATCTTGGAAAAAAGTCCTTTCTTGACCCTACGTTACCTTCCAGTCACTTCCCAGATTCTCTGCTTCTTTTTATAACTAAACTCCAAAAAGTTGCTTATACTCACTGTCTTCATTCCTCCCCTCCTTCTTTACTCTGAATTCCCCTCAGGTCTGGGTTTCTCCCCTGCAGTTCCCCCAGCTTGCTCTTTTCAGGGATGCTCCTGACCTCTAGTGTTGCCAAGTCCTTTGGCCAAAAGATATGAAAGCAGCTGTAATTACAAGGCTTATGGAGGTGGTTAACTTTTCTGAACTGCCTTAGAAGCCCTGAAGAAAGAATGAAAGGCTCTTCTCCCACACGACTCATGGCATGATGTGTAAGCCAGAAAGTCTTCGAAGACAACATATAAAGAAATGCTCACTTCTGCGGCCAGCAAACAGAGTGTGCTGAAAACGAGGCCCAGGATTTAATCCTGAAGGCAGCAGAGCTGCAGAGGAGACCTGTGCGTCCTTGACGATTTTCCTGAACTGAAGTTGTGGCTTTTAAACGGAAGGAATGGGACCATAGGGCTTGGCGTGGGGCTGTTTGGGTGGCTATACCTAGGAACCCTGAGCACCCAGAGCCCCTGAATTCTTCAGACCAGCAGCAGCTGCCTCCTTCCCTTGATAGAAAAGAATAGCGTTACTTTTCCTGGAGACAATGCAAAGACTCTCACCTGACACGGGCGTCATAGAATAATGCTAACCTTCTGAAGACCCACCTCTTACTGCCTCTAGACCAGTAACTAGGATGAGTTACTCCCATAGCCTAAGCAGTGAACACAGTCCCTAGTCTAGGAGGAAAGAGCTTGAGGACCCAAAAGGATGCAGGACCTGTCTGATAGCAGGACCTCTGGGGGGACTGATGGGGTGGGGTATAGAAAACTGGGTAGGAAGTTGATTGCTATGGGAATATTTCCCATGACTCAAGACTGAGGGTCCTGCCAAGAACACCCGGAGTTTGTCCTAATGTGCTACCAGATGACTCTGGAAGCTTGGCCACGATGGGGGCCCTTGGTCAGTGAGCTGGAGATGCCAGAATTGCCCTGGCTGAGTTTAAAGAAGGAGTCTGAGTCAGGGAGGGTAGAGCTCAGTGGTAGAGCGCATGCTTAGCATGCACAAGGTCCTGGGTTCAATCCCCAGTACCTCCATTAAAATAAATAAATAAATCGAATTGTCCCCCCTCCCCAAATCACCATCCATAGTCCTCTCAGGCTGTGCTGCTAAGACCACAGGAGACATCAATCCAACTAACTCTGTATTGATAAAATCGTTTTAAAAAAAGGGTGCATTTACATGTTTCCAAAGACAAAACTAGAAAGCAAGGTAAGTACAGATGTGTCTAGCTGCACCCCTGTCCCTTTTATCCTGATCCTTCCTCCCCATCGAGGTAGATGTTTATATTAAATTTTTAAATATCCTTCCATTGTCTCTATTTGAAAATAGAAGCACATGCTTTTTAATTTCCTCCCTTTCTCAGACACTGCAGCCTGCTATAAAACCTGCACAACTGCTTTGTATGCTCAGGCCAACTCAAGGTGGCCGTTCTCTTGTTCTCCGTATGTTCCCTGCTCGACTGGTCGCTGCTTCACCTGTGCCCTGCTCACATGACTACCCAATCCTCTTAACCATAGGGCTTCATCAGTAACTGCCTCCACGCTTGCCCCTGCCCCACCTGCTGGTTTCCCTGGTAACTGACCTGGTAGCCAACCTGATGTCAGTTCCCCATATAAGTGGTACCCTCCTTCTCCCCAGAGTAGCAAGGACTGCTGCTGTGTCCTGCTTGCCATCTGCCCTATATGGCGGGCTGTCGCTCCAGGACTTTGCTTCGGACTCGCAAGCTCCCCTATCCAATAAACCGCTGACGTCTCCATTGCTGTCTCCAGCTCCATCTCCAGGCTCGCTCTTTGGTCTCGCAGCTGGGCAGTTACAAGGCTTGCAAACCTGTGGGTTGCAGCCCAACACCCTTGCTTTCTTCACTTAATGACATATCCTGGATGTCACACTTCAGCGGGATACTCCATTCCTTTTTTTTTTTTTTAGCTGCAATATATTCTACTGGGTGAGTGTAGCATGATCTATTCCACCATATATTCAATGTTTGGATTGCTTCTTGTCTTTCTAAAAATTGTGATGAAATACACATACAATTTATCATCTTAACCATTTTTAAGGGTACAATTTAGTGGCAAGAAGTACATTCACCTTCTTGTGCAACCATAGCCACCATCCGTTTCCAGAACCTCTCTTCATTCTTGCAAAACTGAAATTCTGTCCCCATTAGACAACAACTCTCCATCTCTGCCTCCCTGGGTGATCACCACTCTGCTTTCTGTTTCTATGAATTTGACTAAGTACCTCACGTAAGTGGAATCGTACAGTGTTTGTCCTTTTGTGACTGGCTGATTTCGCGTAGCATCATGTCCTCAAGAGTCATCTCTATGTTTCAGCATGTGCCAGAATTTCCTTGCTTTTTAAGATTGAATAGTATTCTGTTGTATGGCTACACCACGTTTTATTTATCCATTCATCTGTCAGTGGACATGTGGGTTGCTTCTTCCTTTTGGCTATTGTGAATAATGCTGCTGTGAAACTTGGGTGTGCAAATATCTCTGAGACTCTGCTTCCAATTCTTTGAGGTACACCCCCAGTGGAATTACTGGACTGTATGGTAATCCTATGCTAAACCTTTTTAAAGAAGCACTGTACTGTTTTTCCATAGTGGCTGTATCATTTTACATTCCCACCAACACAGCACGAGGGCTCCAGTTTCTCTGCATCCTCGCCAATACTAGTTATTTTGTGTGTTTTTGTTTTTGTTTTTGTTTTGTTTTGTTTTGTTTAATAGTAGCTCTCCTAATGGCTGTGACGTGGTCTCTCACTGTGGTTTTGCCTTTCCTGTAATTAGCTAACAGAATTAATATTGCAAGGAAAAGCCTAGCGCCGTGGAAACCCTTGTGCATAAGCCGAGTGCTTAATCTTGCTCATAAAATAAATGCAAAATGAAAGTGTACTAAGTCATTTCTCACCTGTCAGATCAGCAAAAACCCAAGTTTTTGCAACATACACCATTGGCAAGACTGTGGAGAAGCAGGTACTCACACAAGTCCTTGGGGGAAATGCAAAATGGTCCAACCTTCTGAGTATGAAGATTTGACACATAGCGAAACTGCATGTGCCTTTGTCCTTTAACCAAGCAATCTGTCTTCCCAGAATCCCTCCCAAACACACATCAACTTCCCCTTGTATAAATAGCCCGGAGATGAAGAACCTGTTAGTAATTGTGGGTGGTTTCCTTAGAGTCCTCTTGTTTCCTTTTGGTCCCTTTCTTGGCTGGGGTTGAGGTCGTGCACCAGTTCAAACTCTCTTACTCACTCCCCCTTATTCCGGCCCCCACGGGGAGACCACCCTGGGCAGAATCTCCCTTTAGGCATGTGCTGGAGGAAGGGGTCAGGAGCCAATGGATAAACTCCTCTCCTTCCCAGAAGGATACTTTGGAGACATTTCATAATGTGCCTCAGAATGTCCTGGAAGACTGAGTGGGGGGCGAGTTCGGGAACGAGGGGTTATGTTTGCCCTCTCTCCTCTGCTCGTCACC